TTTAGAAAATCTTGAAAAAGACAAAAGCTAGAATACTTCTCTGACGCAGACCCCAACTCCAATAATACAAATTTTTCTATAAAAAAAATCATTATAAAAAGTAAAATAAATATGGTTTGTAATAAGATTACATATTCTTATTTTCTCCATCGTATTCTTAAAATAGTAAAATTTTTAAGTCAGTCTGCAAGCAAAACCCGGCGCAATTATGTATTTCTGTAAAACTAAAAGCTCCAAAAATGGTAAAAGCTATGAATCTAATTTTTGTTCAGTACTTATAGCATTAAACCCGCAGCTTTCAGACCGAGTGTCATGTTGATTCTCTAAAAGAAGTGAAAAATCAATGTGCCCTGCTGACCAATTCTCACTTGTATGTCTTGATAGTGTTCAAAAGTGTTGACGTGGCCTTGCTCGTGATGGATTATCTTCCATTCGACAACACCTTCCCAACTGACGAAACGTCACCGGCATCTCGCTACCCTGTCGCTATTTATACGGCCTTTTCGCTGATATTCCTCAGTCACAACAGAGCTGACATTTACAACTGGGACCTGTCATGCCACATCCACAAGAGTGAATCATCCCCATTTCCTCCGTATTCCATTAGTAACTAGGAAGTTCCACTAGGAAAGCTTCTTTCCAAGGATTGCTGCTTTGTGTAAAAAAAAAAAAATCACGGTAGGATGTCTCCCCAATCGCTAACCAAGACAATAAAATCTATGAGACAAAATTATAGCAGTCGGCAAATTTTATTCAGTTTGAACCTCGTCGTAGTTAACGGCTGTAGGCGAGCAGGGGAAAGTGTGATGAGATGAAGGGCGTGTGCCTTCCTTTCACGTGTCAGGACACTAAAAACTACGAGACAACCTTCACGCAGTGGCCGGCTGTAGGCGAGCGAAGGAAAGTGTGACGAGATGAAGGGGCGAACGGAGTAAGCGGCGTGTGCCTTCCTTTCGCGAGTTAGGTAAACGGTCCTCTGGTTTAGGTGTTATGTCTTCATTCCATTGATTGAAAATAACGCAATCAAGATATAGAATGTCGCTTGGAGTCGACGTAAATTGATAGAAATACGCTGCATCTGTGAGCCAGGTTGTGACACAAAGTCGGTTTTTAACGTGGGGAAACTGAGCCAGGTTGTGACACAGGGTCGGTTTTCCACTCAGGCATCTAGTCTAAGCTGATCATAGCTTAACAAAGCCGGTTCATACCAGCGCAACGGAACAGATGTTACGGAACAAGACCAAGGATATTGTCCACGCAACAGGAGAAGGGAGAGAAAGCCTCCGGCACGGAACAGATATTCCGACTCAACGTCTGATCACTTTTCCGTCAATGATTTTATAAGGCACGTGGCCGAAAACATGGGAACCTGATTTGGGATTGGACTCACTATTCAGTCGTAACTGACTTAGCGAGACAAGCTTACTAAGCATTACGCCACGTCGAGGTGCACAATAATAGCGATTTTTCAAGCGTAGCTTGGATGTGGCACAAGGCCGAAAGTAAGGGGCGCCCAGTGAGGATCGAACTCACTACTCAGTCGTAACTGCTCTAGCGAGACAAGCTTGCTCACGATTACACACCCTCGAGGTGCCCTATCTATCTATCTATCTATCTATCTATCTATCTATCTATCTATCTATTTGATCCTGTTCAATATCTATCTATCTATCTGACTTTCTATAAAAATTCTTATCTATCTATCTATAAAACTTTCTTAATTATCTATCTATCTATCTGACTTTCTATAAAAATTTCTTATCTATCTATCTATAAAACTTTCTTAATTATCTATCTATCTATCTATCTATCTATCTATCTGATCCTGTTCAATTTCTATCTATAAAAATTTATCTATCTATAAATCTATCAATAAAAATTTCTTATCTATCTAGAAATCTATCTATCTATAAAAATTTCTTATCTATCTATAAAAATTTCTTATCTATCTATCTATAAAAATTTCTTATGTATCTATAAAAATTTCTTATCTGTCTATCTATCTATCTATAAAAATTTCTTATCTATCCATAAATCCATCTATCTATCTATAAAATTTTCTTATCTATCTATCTATCTATCTATCTATCTATCTATCTATCTCAGTCTGTTCAATATCTATCTATACATCAGCGGTATTGAAATTATGAGCAATCGTGTTATCGATTAATTATGAATCAATCGTGGTACTGAAACCACATAAAATCGATGACAGTAGAATTTCGAACAACCGTCGTATTTTGATGCTCACCTTTTAAATGCCAACGTGCCAGAAGGTATTTGCAGAAAAGATTAATTCTGAATATTTCTGAGAAAGTAGCGAAAAGGTCTTCATTTTATTTATCGGCAAGAAAATACGGCAGGCATTAGTCGGGGAAAAACATGGTTCGCAAACAAAAGAATAATTTTTTTTACCTCTTGACCAGGTCGGTGGCCAGATATAATTCCTATAGAGTGTCCATTTGCATATATTCATCACAAAACCGAATGGAATTTGTCAACTCGCATTAATCCTGAGAAACCTTCGCTCAAGAATGATACCTCAAAGATATTTCCATTCTTCAAATATGACCAACAAACATGAATGCCTACAGAAATCTAAAAGTTACATAATTTTGAATCTTTAATATATTGGCTATAAGAGGACAGTATATCCTTGTCAATAATATGAACATGTTGTTTTCTTTCTTTAGTTGTTTATTTGTTTTGTTTTATGGCATATCAACATCTCAATGGGTCATTTGTGGTCGACAAGCTTTTAATTGCTGGTAGTATTTTTTATCTATCTATCTATCTATCTATCTATATATATATATATATATATATATATATATATATATATATATATATTGGTTTGGCTTGTTTTGTTTTGCGACATATCAAGCTCAATGGGTTATTTAATGCCGACAAGATTTTTATTGCTGGTAATATTTTTTATCTATCTATCTATCTATCTATCTATATATATATATTTTGGTTTGGCTTGTTTTGTTTTACGACATATTAAGCTCAATGGGTTTTTTTAATGCCACCAAGATTTTTATTGCTGGTAATATGTTTTATCTATCTATCTATCTATCTATCTATCTATCTATCTATCTCAGTATATATTGCTTTGGTTTGTTTTGTTTTATGGCTTATCAACCTCAGTGGGTCATTTAATGCCATCAAAATGTTTGAAATAGATACATAGCGATAGTTTGGTAAAAAAGGTGTTAATGTATACATATATATTTGAATCACTTTTAATATTTTTGAGTACAGTCACATGTATGGCTGGTAATTTTTTTTTTTTTTTTCAAAAATTAATTTCTGGTAATAATTTTTTTTCAAAGTATTTCTGGTATTAAAACCTATTTTTACACTTTTATAATGCTTTTTACCTCGGTTTCGGGGTTGTCTATTTGCGCATAGCTGGGACCCTAGCAGGTGCTACCACCCCGGGTCAGGGTGAACCTGGGAACACCAGCAATTAAAAGGTGGTTTCCACGCTCTTCAAAACATTCTGATCAGAGACCTTGCTGTTGGACGTAGTTTATTGTCTTACGCTGGACGCGGATGTAGTTTAACGTCATACCCGGGTCGCGCCATTGGTTCTTACGCCCTCTGCAGAGGTGCAGTCAGCGTATTCTACAGCCCCAGCTGACAGGGCGGTTCTTACTTGAGAAAATTCCTTTCTTTACGTTTGGATGCAAAACTGAACAGATATAAATATTTTGAGAGTCTATGACAAGAGGAATTCCACTAAAAGGTGCCAATCAGCCATAACTGATCGGTTAAGTTCTTCATAGCTCCGTCGGTCTCGAACTGCATTTTCTCTGGATGTGTCGTATATATTTCTTAACATCGAATATGATTACTAGAAATTAAATGGCGCTCATCAGAGGTACAGATTTCCAAAGATCAATGACAATCCACAGCTTTTAAGAGTATACGAACATAAATCCAAGAACATTTTTTGAAACAAAGAAACGAGTACCGATTGATAGATTTCATTTTTTTACGGGCTATCAACCTTTTGTAGGTTATTTAATGCCAAAAAATATGTTTAGATAGTAAATTTCTTTTTTTTAGCGATAATAATGATTTTTACTGATACAGGTCCTACTAAATAACCTATAACTGGGGAAGTATAAGAGGTGGATTTATAGTTCCCTAGGATATTTGGCGTCCTGGGTATGACGATAAACTACATCCGCGTCCAGGGTAAGACGATAAACTACGTCCAACAGCAAGGCCTCTGATCAGCAGACTTTGAGGAGCGTGGAACTTCCTGTTAATTGCTGGTATTCCCAGGTCCACCCTGACTCGAAGTGGTAGCACCTGTTAGGGTCACAGCTATGGGCAAATAGATAATCCCGAAACCAAGGTAAAAAGCATTATAAAAATAGGTTTTAATACCAGAAATACTTTGAAAAAAAATTATTACCAGAAATTAATTTTTGAAAAAAAAAATTACCAGCAATATATGTGATTGTACTCCAAAATATAAGTAATTTAAAAGTGATTCAAATATATATGTATACATAAACACCTTTTTACTATCGATGTGGTAGCACATGTTAGGGCCCCAGCCATGGGTAAATAGTTAACCCAGAAAGTGTAAAAATAGGTTTTAATACCATAAATACTTTGTAAAAAAATATTACCAGACATGAATTTTTGAAGAAAAAAATATTACCAGCAATAGGTTTTTGAATAAATAATATTACCAGCCATACATTTTTGAAAAATAATATTATCAGCTATGCATTTTTGATGAAAAAAATATTAACAGAAATAGATTTTTGATAAAACAAAAACATTACCAGAAAAAAAAGTTGTCGGCATTAAATGACCCATTGAGGTTGATATACCGTAAATCAAAACAAACCAGACTAAAGGGGATTTGAGTGTAAGTGACGAAAACGAACTCGTGTACGATTCGAAACCGGCTCTCGGATTTCCCCGCTCGAGCCGCTCTCCATTACATCACTCACATACCCAATTACATCACATACTACAGCAAATGCTTTCCCAAAGTTGTTACCCATCCAGATACAGACCAAGCTCGATGTTGCTTAACTTCGGTGTTTAAACGGGAACCGGTGCGTCAACGTGATTATGTAATATCGGTCCTCATACATGGCAGAGAAGGCAGAACAATCAACCCAGAGATGAAGAAGAGATTTTAACCATCTGAAATGATGGAACTACAGAAGGCTTCTGATGATTCCTTGAACTGGACATGTGAGCAACGAGCACGATTTAGGGAAGAGTGAAAAGAATTTGATACTTTGGCTATGATTCTATTGATAGTAAACTCTGAGAATCAGAAAGGGACATTTGATATTTCTAGCACACATAATGAGGAAAGAGGGCTTGAAGAATCTGACACCCACAGGATGATAATGAAAGCAAGCGAGACAGGGGAAACCAGCGCATTGGGAGAGATAGCACTGTTGGTGTCATGATCATTAAGGGTTATCAGTGATGGTCATACTGCAGTCGTGAGAAATCTATCTATCTATCTATCTATCTATCTATCTATCTATCTATCTATCTATCTATCTATTATCTATCTATTTATATTGAGTCGTTAAATCTATTATCTATCTATCTATATATCTATCTATCTATTCATCTATCTTATCATTTCATTATCTATTATCTATCTATCTATCTGATCGTTTCATCATTCTAATCTATCTATTATCTATCTATCTGAGTCGTTTCATTATTATCTATCTATCTATCTATCTATCTATCTATCTATCTATCTGTATTCTTTATCTCTCTATCGATCACTATTGTTATCTATCTATCTATCTATCTATCTATCTATCTATCTATCTATCTCACTGTATTCTTTATCTATCTATCTATCTATCTATCTATCTATCTATCTATCTATCTATTACATGAAAATTCTTTTCTATTATCTATCTATCTATCTATCTATCTATATATCTAAAATATCTATCTATCTATCTGTATTCTTTATTCTATCGACATATATTTTTATCCATCTATCTATCTATTTATCTCACTATTTTTATCTATCTATCTATCTATCTATCTATTTATCTATTATCTGTAAAATTTATCTATCTATCGATCACATTATTTTATTATCTATCTATCTATCTATCTATCTATTTTATTTATTATCTATCTATTTATCTATCTATCTATCTATCTATCTATCTATTTCTCTATCTCATAAAAATCTATCTATTCTATCTATCTATTCATTGTATCTATCTATCTATCTATCTATCTATCATATCTATCTATCTATCTGAATCGTTTAATTTATTCATCTATCTATCTATGTATTCTTTATATATCTATCTATCTATTTTTATCTATCTATCGATTTATCTATCTATCTATCTATCTATCTATCTATCTATCTATCTATCTTACTGTATTCTATTTATCTATCTATCGATCTTTATTTTTATCTATCTATCTATCTATCTATTTTATCTATCTGTATTCTTATCTATCTATTGATCACATTTTACATATATTCTATCTATTCATCTATTTATCTATTATCTATCTATGTATTCTTTATCTATCTATCTATCTATCTATCTATCTATCTATCTATCTATCTCACTGTATTCTTTATCTATCTATCGATCACTATTTTTATCTATCTATTTATCTATCTATGAAAAAATCATATCTTCACTTTATTTATTGAACAAATGTGTCACAAGGTCAAAAACTGGGAATGGCGAAATGTTGGTCTTCATCTGTCTTATAATAAAACTTAGCTAACTACAATCACTGAAACAAATATGCCACAATAATTCTTGCATCAAAAGAACACATTCTTAGTAAACCCACCAGAGACTCCATGAAGTCCTAACATTTTCCTATATGAACAATTTGTCTGTGTAGGCGAGGGGGAGGGGCAAATTAAAAATTTATAACCCCAATATTTATTCGTATATTATATACAAAACATGACACAAGGTCAAAAAGGGGAATAGGGAAAGGACGGTCTTTTTCTGTCTTAACATTAAACTTAACTATATTAACAGTATTCTTAACACCAAAACAACGCATTCTTACTTGCCGTTCTTACAACAATCACCATAATACCTCATTGTCTCTATGGAGTCTTATCTAGTCCCCTTATGTACAATTCTTGTCTGTGGGTGGGGATAACAACAATTTAAAATCTAAAACCCAATGGGCATTTACATATGAATAAAAATCTATTTACACGAAATAAAAGAAAATAATTAGTAACGAGCCGTGTAACCCTTCATCGACCGAGTGTTTCAGTTCTGGGAAATTTTGCCCTTCAATTGGAGCAGTTTAAATATAAGTCAGCCCACCCGAAAATCAATATTAGTAACAAAGTGGGGACAACTGAGGCAAATCCCCAGATAGGGGAGTTAACAAATTGAATGGTGGGAGTGGCCCTGAAAAGGGCCGTTTTTGCGTTCTCAATCTTGCAAGGAAGGAATCTCTTCCATGAACCGTCATAATAATAATATACGATAATTTTAATTATATATATATATATATTTTATATATATATATATATATATTTATAATTATAATAATCATTTGCGTTAATTTCAACTCTAAATTTTTTTACAGACATTAAATTTTGCTTGTGATTTTTTTGCACAAAGTGTAAAAAAAAAAACAGGTTTTTCGATTTTTCATCTTCAAGGTTGTAATTTTTTTCCAGCCAATTTGGACTCAAAACCAGCACTGAAGAATTATCTATCAAACAAAAATGATTCCATCGAAATCGGATAAAAACACATAAACAACACCCGATCACAAATCCACACGCGCATACATACACACATATTTTGAGAATTCTAGATATAGATAATATTATTGCAATAATTTAAACTATTTATTCTTATTAAAGTTTTTATGAAAAGATATATATCCACGAACAGATAGTAAACATTAAAACGTTGCTGAGAGTTATAATGGACAGGAAGTAGTGGAGAGCCATTGTCACCAACAATTTGGACTCGGCACTGAAGAATTATCTATCAAACAAAAAAAAAGTTGATCGAAATCGGATGAAAACTGTGGAAACACATAAACAACATTCGGTCACACACAGACACACACACATTTTGAGAAATAGAGTTATAGATACCCCGACTCAATCCTTAATTTTGGCAAAAACATCGATTAACTGGACAATAGGGAGGTACTATCAGTATGTATTTACTTAACCCCCGCACTGAGTCAGGTTGTGACACAATGTCGGGTTTAACGTTGGGACCCAAGTGTCTTCATTAGGCCCGCTGGTCTTAGCTGATCTAAGTTAGTCATAGCTGGTCTTGGCTTGTCATAGATTGTCCGTGTTGGTCAGAGCCGGTCCAAGCTAGTTGTAACTGTGATGCCACCAGCACAGGGACGGAGCCCTGGGGCAGGTAAGGAGATTTTATGCGCAACCCCCCCACCCAACTGGTTGTGACACAAGGTCAGTTTTTAACGTGCGGTCTCAAGGGTTTTCACTCGGGACACTGGTCCAAGCTGGTCATAGCTGGACTTGGCTTGTCATAGCTGGTCCAAGCTAGTTGTAGCCGTAACACTACCAGCACAGGGACGGAGCCCTGGAGCAGGTGAGGAGATTTACTTGACCTCCCATTGAGTCAGGTTGGGGGACAAGGTCAGTTTTTAACGTGGGGACCAGAGTGTTTTCCCTCGAGCCGCTGGTCTTAGCTGGTCTTGGCTTGTCAAAGCTGGTCAGAGCCGGTCAAAGCTAATCGTAGCCGTGATACCACCAGCACAGGGACGAAGCCCTTGGGCAGGTAAATGTATTTACTTGACCCCCCACAGGTTTTGACACAAGGTCATTTTTTAACGTGGGAACCTGAGTGTTTTCACTCGGCCACTGGTCTAATCTGGTCATAGCTTGTCCAACCTGGCAAAATATTTTATGTAAGCTGGCCATAAATCTAAGCTTGTAAAAAGCGGTCAAAGATGGTGGTCATAGCTTGTCCAAGCTGGTCATAGCTGGTCTAATCTGGTCATAGCTTGCCCAAGCTGGTCATAGCTGGTCCAGACCCGAGACGGTCCAAGCTAGTCGTAGCCGTGATACCACCAGCATAGGGCCGGAGCCCGGAGGCAGGTATCAAAGTGTGTATACCACTCGAGAGAGAGAGGGGGGGAGGAATTTGCATGCTCAGTGGACGTACTAACGGTAGAACGGTCTGTTGGGCGCAATATTGATATATTCAAATGAGGTACAATCAGTGTTTTTTTTATTGGTTAGGTAACTCAAAAAGCAACTAATTTGATTGGTTTCTTAACGAGTAGCTTTAATATATATATATATAGATATATATCTTTATAGCTATACTAAACTGCAAAAAAACACGAACGTCGACGTATATGAGATAGCAGCCAGGATTATGTGTTCGTCTAAACATTATCTGATATTTATAAATATAATTTTCATGGTCTTGGCTTTGGTTCTTCTTATAATCGGTGCTGTAATCCAAGGTTCTTTCTACGGAAGTTCCAGCCTATTATACGGTTATATAAGCGTTCCGGCTGGCCTAACCATGGCTTTTGGCGCGTTGTTGCTCGTGGCTTCCCTGATAGTCCTCGTCTGCGTCTACTGTGAAAGCGCTACTGCTTTACTCGTCTACATGTTCCTGCTCTCCACCTTGATAATAATTGAACTGGCCGCCGCCATAGCAAGCCTCGTAATGAAGACCTATATACTAAGGATGATCACAGACTCGCTCCGTTCTGCCCAAATCAAGTACACGGACAGTCATTCCGCGTCTCTAACCTGGAATTCGGTCCAGAGAGACTTCAAGTGTTGCGGTGTCGACCATTATAAAGAATGGTTCCATTATTTTGGTAACTCTTCTGTTCCGGATTCCTGCTGTGCTGAGTATTCTGTCGATTGTGGTTCGCTTGCCGTTTTCAATGACAATTTGTTAAATACTGGTTGTTCCGTAGCTATTGAACTCTGGACGAAGAGTCACCAAATTCCGGCCACTATTTTGTTCATTTTTGTTCTCTTCATGCAGTTCTTTTCACTCCTGCTGTCCTTGTGCCATTCAAGAACTCTGCGCCGATACGACTGGTTCGGAGGGGAATAAAACTT